ATTTTACCTAAACCGCGCCTGAATGAATATATTCTCGGAAATAAATAGTAGTTTTGCTGAAACGTGATGTATTTCAATGTAAAATAGGATAAAATACATGACGGAAACAAAAGACTTTACCTAAGCTTCCGATGTTCTTGAGATGTTACTCGTTTTTTTAATAGTTTTCAGTTAAAATTCTGTTATATTTCAATGATATTCTATTCATACTGTGCTTGATATAATACATTCACGGAAATGTAATATTTTTGCTGAAATTACGTACGTATTACAATACAGTGGAAAGTGGGATAAAATCGTGATGAAAGCAATGACTTTCGCTTTCTTTCGTTCAAAAGATGTTACCGTAATCGCTTTTCGAATGGTTTAGGTAAACAACTGTTGTATTACAATAATATTCCCTCCTAATTGACTTGAATAAATACTTGAATGGAAATCTACAATATTTTTGTTGAAACTACACGCGTTTCAGTGTAAAGTGTCGCAATAATAAATGGTAAACAATTTGCCTTCGGCACTCGTGTTTCAGTTTATAGGATGTAGAGCGTTTTTACTGAAGGTTTTGTTGTTCCCTTACCCTCAAAAACGTGGGTCGAACTATAAACGAGGAATATCATAAATTAACGATTTCTTGGTCAAAAAATCAGGGTCGACCGATAAACGAGGGGGGGTTATAGATGAGTACTGTATATACGGTATGTTGTCACAGTTTGATTGCTCGTTTTAAAGTGGCGACCACGTGGTCGCTTGTTGTTGCTGTGCAGCTGTGGTGCTCACGCATGCGCACATACAGTACACACAAAAGTCCGCAAAAAAAAAAAAATAATAATAATAATAATTAGTTTTCCAAAAGTCCGGATTCTCGGGTGGTCCGGATTTCTGGCATCCGGATTTTTGGACTTTTACTGTATGAATCAATAAGGATTTATTTTGCACATTTGTATTTAGCTTTTTAGTCAACTTCCGTATACAGTATAGTCTGCATTTACGCAGTCAATTGGACCCGTGGAGGCCCGCGTAAAACGAGAAACGCGTAAATGAAATACAGTATACTGTAGTCTGCATTTACGCGGTCAATTGAACCCGTGGCGTACCGCATAAAACGAGAAACGCGTAAATGAAATAACAGAACATATGGGATTAATTGAAATAGAGACTGGGCCGACCCCCAAACTCCACTTTTTGCGACACAATACATACGTTGTAGTAAAAATATTATCTTAATTTTATGATGGTATGCACACACACATGATATAGAAGAGAAATATCAATAAGAGAATAATATACTGTACCAGGTAAAAGAAAACACTTACGTTAGTAGAAGAGATGGGTCGGCATACGAGGATGGGGGCTGGTTCCGAGGCAGAGGGCAGATTACTGGCCCTCAGGTGAATCGCCATCACTATCCACCATAGTTGTCAGGGCCTTCCTGACAAACCCCTCAAAGTCATTACTGTCACTATCACTGGCTTGGGCTGGCTGTGGTGGGTTGCCGGCGAAGAAGTCAGTGATGTTATGCTGACGGCTAGTGTTGATGTGGTCGTGATACATCTGGATGTACTGCTCCATACTTTGATCTAGAAGGTTATTGAAGACTTCATACCGGTGATTGACATGGTCTTTTGAAAGGGTGAGCTTTAGTTTCTCGGCAAACTCGATGGCATCCTTTACATCACCATGAGTTAACTTCTGTTGTTCTCGGGCTGCTGCACCACCTGCCTTCTCACTGACGTCATCGTCTTCCAACAACTCGTCGGCAGTCACCTCAGGGTCCCTGATTACCTCCATGATGTCGTCGTTGGTGGTCTCGGAGAAGCCTGCAGCTGTAACACTCTGTGCAGCTTCTCTTGCAAGGTCCACGGCCACTGCAACAGACTGAACCTCACCAGCCACAGGTTGACTCTGCCTCCCACCTGGGATACCCTGCAACACATGCCGCCACACTTGACGAATCATTGCCACAGACAGCTGCCCCGATGCCTCCACCAAGAAATCAACAGCTTTCTTTACGTTAAACATTTTCCAAAACTGTTTAACTTGCACTTCATGCTCTGCCAACTCTTGTTCTGCATCCTCGTTGTTGTCGCTCTCGCTGTCTGTGCCACTCAAAAGGTTACGCAACTCATCCTTGGTGTTGGTGTAGTCGTTCAGGAGCTTAAACTTCTTTGCAGAGAATGCAGCCTTAACGTTGCATATCAACTCCTGGTTCATGGGCTGGATTAACGATGTAGTGTTGGGAGGAAGGAAGACCGCTTTTACATTGGGGTGACGTTCCAACAGTAGGGACGAGTGTCCTGGTGTGTTGTCAAGCAGCAACAAAATGTTGAATGGCACATTATTTTGCGCGCAGAATTTCTTGATGTCAGGAACGAAACAGTCATCAAACCAGGAGAGGGACAGACCAGTGAACATCCACGCCTTACGTGGGTTAGCCAGTGGACATTTAGCTTGGTCATATCCATGTTCTTGTAGGCGTGCGGCTTGCGGGCTGTGTGGATCACCGACAACTTAAGCTTACAGGTACCGGAGGCATTGGTGGTAAATGGGATAGTGATGTGCTCCTTCTGCAATTTCCGGCCCTGACACTTGCTGGCAGACTGGACAACGAAGGTCTTGGAAGGTAATTTTTTCCAAAACAGACCGGATTCATCCATGTTGAACACCTGGTCGTCCTTCCTTCATTACTTCACTTAAGAATGGAGGAAAATCCATGGCGGCAGCACGGTCAGCACTCTCTCCTTCACCAACAATGTTAATGTTCGTAATCTTGTTCCTTTTCTTAAACCCTTGCAGCCACCCAGAGGAAGCAGTGAAGGATTTGATCTCTGCAATTCCCAGCTTTCGCGCCACTGATGCGTACAGTTCACGTGCGTAATCCTGCACTGCCCGCGTGTCGACCACCATGTTACGTCTTGCCTGACGAATTAAGTAGCTCACCAGCAAGTTCTCAGTCTTGAGCAGCACCTTATTCTGACAGTACTTCACCATTGAAGCACCTGCAAACTTTGTGATGCTCATTTGTTCTTTAATCTTGGCGGCATCCTTCTGGATCGTAGATTCGTTCACACCATGCTGGCACGCCAAATCAACTTGTCTCGTTCCTTTTTCTAAATCTTGTACGATCTTGTACTTAACTTCGTAACTTAGGGCACGTCGTATCTTCTTGGGCTTGGGGCGGCTGGGTCCAGGTAATGCAAGGTTTTTCTGTGGTGGTTGGGGTCCAGCGGATGCCATTGTTGAACAGATTAGTGAGCACAAGAGATAACAGTATACGTGGCGACAGGAGAACAATGAGACTGACGCGGTTGGGTCAGACGCTCCCTCCCGTGCCAGGCCACGTCATACAACATTAGAGCATCACAGCTAGCGGCGGAGGGAATGCGTGGGTGGGAAGGATGCGTGGCCCAATCACAGTCCGATACGTCATATGACGTCAGCGATAACGCAACAGCGACCTAATGTGCACCCCTCACTGCGCCGCTTCCCGCGTGTGGTCGAGAATGGACTGCTTGACTGAAAAATGGCGTGGAGCGTCTGGACCTCCAGCCGCTCTCCGCGTAAATGACCAAATTTACCGCATAATTAAAGCATTTACATTCTGGCAAGGCACCGCGTAAACAAAACCCGCGTAAATGCAGACTATACTGTAACGGAACATATGGGATTAATTGAAATAGAGACTGGGCCGACCCCCAAACTCCACTTTTTCCGACACAATACGTTCCTTGTAGTCAAAATAACATCTTAATTTTATGATGGTATGCACACAATTAATAATTAAGAGAAATATCAATAATATTAGGTTTTTTAACACTTACGTTAATAGAAAAGCTGGGTCGGCACATGTGGATGACGGCTGGTTCCAAGGCAGAGGGCAGATTAGTTGCCCTCCGGTGAATCACTTTCACCACTCGTAGAGGTTTGCAGAGCCTCCCAGACAAACCTCTCAAAGTCCATATCCTCACTGTGGTTGTGGTTGTGGTGGGTTGCGGGTGTGGAAGTCCTCAATACTACGTTGACGACTAGCATTGATGTTGTCGAGATAGATCTGGATATACAGCTCCATAACTTTCGTCAGATGATTATTAGACACTTCATACCGATGCTTGTCTGGGTCGTTGTCAAAGATGAGCTTAATTTTCTCCCCCAACTCGATGATTTCCTTCACATTATCATGTCTTGGTCCAGGTACTTCAAGGTTTTTCTCAGGTGGTGGGGGTCCCGCTGAAGCCATTGTGAGGGGAATAGCGGGCACAAGAGAGAACTGTATACACGGACTGAGAACAATGAGACAGGCCCGGCTAGGTCAGCGACTTCTACCCTTTGGTGGCAGGGCACTTCATGTTACATTAGACCAATCACAGCTAGCGGTGGAGGGAATGCGTGGGTGGTAAGGATGCGTGGCCCAATCACAGTCCGTTACGTCATATGACGTCAGCGATAACGTAAGAGCGGCCTAATGCGCACCACTCACTGCGCTGCTTCCCACGTATGGTCAAGAATGGACCGCATGGGTAAGAAATGGCGTGGCGGTCTGGACCTCTCCAGCCGCTCGCCACATAAATGACCAAATTTACCGCGTAATTAAAGCATTTTCATTCTGGCAAGGCACTGCGTAAATGACCAAACGAGTAAAGAAACCCGTGTAAATCCAGACTATACTGTAATGTACAGGATTTTTAATGCTTATTCTGCTAATCTGTGACTTTCAGAAATTCGACCACGATGGGATGCCAATTATAGTACGAATTTGTGGGGTGAGGGTTTACATGCATGTCCCAATATCTATCACCTGTGGTCTCATAATGTTTCACACAGAGTGTGGACAGATACTTTTTTGAGATACTGTACAACAAATAGTAGTTGATTGTTGACTTGACATACCATACTGACACTGTTTCTTCTTCCATTTGCTTAGAAATCAATAATTAGTCAGGGTGGTGTATCTCTTTGTTGCTCATGGCAATACTGGCAGTTTGTTTAAAAAAATTTTTTTTTTTTCAGACCCATCATATCTGGAATGGATAAAAGTGTTGTAAATAAAGGAGGACACCCTTTTGCCTTAGATGATGCTGGGAATATACCCATCATTGATGAAGAAGACTTTTCGCATACTTCACACATATCAAATACCTCTTTGGCCTTGCCTTCTTCAGTGAATACTGGAATCATGGATATTGACAGAGAACCAGAGCAAGAGCAGAGTGTGAGAAGACATGTCAGACAAAATGAAGTGTGTGAGACCATTGATGCAAGTAGATGTTTTATAGATGATGAATCTTGCACTAAAGATGAGGCAAAACCTTCAGTGCAAGAAACTGAGGAGCCTGGAAGAACACTAAACTCAGCGGACTGTAAATGTTGGAGTCAAAGTGAGAAAAACAACCCAGAACAAAGAAGAGATGTTGCTGACATAGATAATAAAAATGTAAATTTAATTGCTGATGAATCCAGCACCCAGAGCATTTTAGACAACCCTGCAAACTATGTTACACACAAACTCTCCTTTCCTGTTGCAAATAAAAACAAAGACAAGGAATCTCTTTATGATGCAGAATCCGAATCTCAATTGTCAGTAAGCCAAATATCAAGTTCAGAGGCTTATCTAGCTTCAGACTTTCCTGATGTTAAAGTGAAGAACAAAACTAAGAAGCAAAAAACACACAAACTTGGCAAGGATGGGAGAGACTCTGATTCTTCTGTGTCATCAAAAAGAAAAGGATCCAGCAGCAAAACTCGCATAAAATCTAAGTTTACTCCTGGGAGTCTGGAGTACATTGAGCAGCGCTTGTGTGGTCGTCTATTCTCTGGCTGGGTGGGGGAGCGAAGATGGGTTGAAAGCTTGCGTGCATATCGGGATGTGATAGAAGTGGATGAGTGGGAAGTGGATATGAACCAGCAACTTAAGGCCATAATTAATAGCATCCCTGGTGTGTATGAAGGAACCAAGTGGATCAACTTATCTCGTAAGTCAACCAGTAATTTTTACTTTCTCTCATTTTGGATTAATTTCAAGCATGCAAGAAGCTAAGTTGTTATACAATAATTTTTTCCCTTATTACATTTATTTCTGGAATGAACTAAATAATGCTTATTGAGTTAGTTACAGTAATCATTTATGAGTAAACAAAAAGTATTAACGTAAGCCACCACCAGCCAAGGTTGTAGGTGGTAATTCCCCACCCTGTTGTGTTTTCATGGTAAACAACATTATTGCCCATACTTTACAATATACAACTGGATTTTACTTTTATACCAAGTTTCTTATTTCACTGTGGTTTTATTCATCGATAATCTAGTCATATTAATATTTTAATAAACCTCTATAAATTGTTCACAGATTCCATCTGGGTTTCTTTCTTTTTAGTATTTTAATGGCTGTTTGCAAGATGCTACAATATATACTTACACATTTTAAGTTTTGTTTCATTAGATTAGTCAACTTGCAGCAACTTTGATAGACTGCATCTTGCTTTTCCTTTACAGAATATATTGTCATTGTTCTGAGATGAAGCTTAAGAATGTTATGGACTTTGGTGAGGCTGGGATTATGACTGTTGGTCATTGTACTCTCCCATGGGCAAAATAAAATCTGATGTACAGTACATATGATCAAAAACTATCTGTGCACATTTTGCATAAAACAATTAACACCACAGATGATGGATTTTTTGCAAAATCCTATAGTACAGTAGACTCGCAACTTACGCGTATTTTTCTTACCCGGTTTCAACTAGTATACACGGATTACCCCGGGGGTTACGTTACAATTTCCAACCTCAAGCTCAAAATTTTCAAAAATTTTATGTCTAGTGCAAATTATAGCATGTTTATATTCAAATTAATCGCTATCGTATATAAATCCCAGCAATGTAAATTTTATTCTCCCAGGTCAGTTCAGTGACAAAAAAAAATAAATAAATAAATAAAAAAAAACTAACTGTAAAGGACATAAATACTGTACCACATTTCTCAGCGTATAAGCTGAGGTTGTAAGCCCTAAAAAATTCCCAGAAATCATGGGGTCGACTTATATACCAGATCTAGATCATGAACCTAAAAATTTCTGGTGCATAGCAGCGAGACACACTATTTACTACTCACAAACAACTTTGAAATACAACTTTGTTATTGTAAAGACATGAACTGAAATGGCCTAAAATACTAAAATGATAGAAATCCTACAACAGCGACATGACACGACTGTTGTTTACAACTCACTATTACTGTCGTGGTGGTTTGATCAACTGTTATTCATCCCAAGGACATTAGTGTAAAAGAAAGTGTTGAAATACAAATTCTTTATTTAAGACATGGATAAAACAAAAAACATCAGTAAAAATGTTAAAATACAATATAGAATTGAAATGGTTTAGAATCCTTCAAAATCTTCTTCTGAACTAGTGGTTCCTTCCAGTGAATCCCAGTCCTCCGACTCGGCTGCGGCTTCATCGTCATCTTCCCACCCCACATCATCCTCCTCACCATCCAGAGAATTGGATATGCAACATTTTTTTAATTATTTTACTACTGTTTCTGATTTTTTGGCATTCCAAGAATCTATTTAATGATAATAATAATAATTAACGGTTTATTGAAAGAACATAGCAGCCGGAAGGCTGAAAATATACAGTTACATAATTGGGGAATGGGTCTCTTGATTTACAAATAACATACAAGTAACATAAGTGATACAAATATGATATACTGTATAATAACTAGGTGGGGAGAAGCTCAAACTACAGGACATTTCAACATAGTGACAGTGCAGAAAATAGGATTTACTGGGAGTGAATACACTGGTTGATTACAAGTTATTGATCATTTTTACAATGGTTGGAACTGAGCTGTTCTTATAGCGATCAGTTCGTGCACGTATGGGCTGGATGTGGTTGTGGTGTCGAACAGCAATTCTCGGAAAAGGGATCTCAGGTGGTAGTAGGACCCGGTGTCGAGGATGATGCAGAAACTTCTCACCAAATTTGCAGATGAGGTCGTGGTAATGGTCAGTGAGAGCCGAGAGGGTCACTGTGTTGAACGCTTCTTGATATGTGGAGTAGGAAGGGGAGAGAATAATCTTGCATGTCCTCTTTTGCACTTTTTCTTGGTGATTACGTTGTGTGGTATTTAGGGAGAAAAACCAGGTAGGTGAGCTTGGGAAGTATAAATGTTGAGTAAACACTCAGGAGCTTGGGTTCAGGAACTCCAAGGGACTTGAGTCAGCGTAGGAGGTGGAGATGGAAGCTGGAGGATTTGACAACTTCCCGGTGATGACGTATCCACTGTCTCGGTTCTCGTTGACCCACTCGAATAATTTCTCCTCCAGTTCTGGCCACCGTTGTTTACCTCTTCTCAGGTCACATTTTGTTCTGGGGATGTCTATTAACTTTTCTTCAGTCTTCTTCCACTCTCAAACCTGCTTGTTAATGCCGAATTCTCTTGCAGCTGCAGAGTTGTTTGATGCCTTTGCAAATCTTACAACTTTTAACTTGAACGATGCGTCGCATTTCATTCGTTTTGCGGGTGGAGCCATTTTACCATAAGGTTTAAAGACCACCACCTCATAAATATGGAAAATGCCAAGTGGAGAGAATGTGGTAAACAAATAAGAGGTCGACTGTGAAGGTGAGTCGGTGCAGTATCGAACGTAAAACCGCTCATAACGGTAATGCCCATAACACTGTGCAACAAATTTTAGGGAAAGTTGTGTTTATCTGAATTTTTTAACTTTTTATACATGTTTTTGAGTATGCTGACTCCAAATATGACTTTAGTTTTTTTACAGCATCAATAGTTTTATCAGAAATTAACAATTAATTTTTTTTCATCTCTGAAATTTAACCAGAAATCAGAAGGCATAATGTTGATATACATCACATTTGCTAATGAAATAAATGAAACGAGAACACAAATGTATGTTATATTGAAAGCATAAACAACACATTCCTTTTCTACTCTTGTTACCAATGAAATTGAACATTAAACTATGCTAAAAATGAACACTTGAACGGCATTTTCTTTTGTGTTCCTTGGGTCATCTCGAATCAAACTCCACACGTAGTCACCCATCATAGTTTCATCCCAAGTCCCCTTATATCTCTTCTCCTGATGAAACCGTTCGCCATGCTCTTCACTCACGTGTCCCAAGTTTGGTCTGAAGAATTCCAAGTGTGAATGCAAGTAGTGTAACTTCAGTGACATTCTGCAGCCAAGTTCTCTGTAACATACAATTAAATTTTCCACCAGCTCTTTGTAGTTCTCAGACTTGTGATTGCCCAGAAACCCATGTACTTTAAGCCGAAATGCTTGCCAGGCATTTTTTTCAACAGTTGACATTTTGTTTTCCAAATCTGTAGATGCCAACATCTGCCTAATTTGTGGTCCAATGAAGATGCTGCCTTTGAATTTGGCCTCAGACAATTTTGGAAACATTAAGCGGACGTGTTTAAAGGCGTTACTTTCTGGGCTTAATGCTTTGATAAACTGCTTCACAAGCCCTAGCTTTATGTGAAGTGATGGCAGCAATATCTTCTCTCTTTGAATAAGAGCATTGTTACATACATTGTGTGCACCAGGAGTTAATTCGCTTCTGACATGCCAATCTCTTCTGTCATAGTGTTTGTAAATCTTCTCTACTATCCCATAGACAGAGAATGCAAGAATACCTGGTATAGCCACCTTGTAGTCCAAGCAGGAAACCTATCATCTTGAAGTCTCCACATAATCCCAATTGTTTCTTGTATAGTTGAGTATGTCCAACAAAATCTTTACATTTTCATAGTCTTCCTTCATTTGAACTGAATGACCTACCAGAATTGATGGAAGTGTATTCCCATTATGAAGCAACAGCCTTAAGACTTTTTGTTGAGCTGCCATTAAACAGATGCCAATCAGAAGGGTTGCACTCAATGCCTATTTGGCCAAAAAGGCCATTGACATCAAAGCAGTAACACAGCAAATTGAGTTCCATAACTTTGAAGAAAGGTGTAAAAGTTAGATGCCTTTTTCTGTATGTAATAATCTTGCAACTAGGATCTAGTAAATTCCACTCCTTGAGACGAGATGTCAAAATCTCAGCATTTTCCTTGGTAAGACCTAAATCCCTGACTAAGTCATCCAGTTCGTGCTGATTAGGAAAATGTGGGGATTTGCTTGAGTCTGCTACATTAAAGTCAACATCCTCGCCCTCTTCAGAAGATGAGAAGTCAGCATTTGAAATCACTGTGCTTTTTAACAGAAATCCCCAAAATTGCACTAAAATTGAGAAAAAGTGTGATATTGTTAAGTTTTCAAAAAATATTGATAGCATGGCAAAACCAATGCAGATTCATAATCAGTGTGTCTAAATTAGTAAAGAAACATATCAAAATCAACATATACAAAAAATTTTTGCACAGTGTTTTAAGAAGTCGAGTTTGGGGGTTGGCTTATACACACGACATCAGCCTAGAACTCATATTTCAGCTGAATAATCGGGGGTCGGCTTATACGCCGAGAAATACTGTAAATAAATAAATAAATACTTTACTAGACCTCCTGGCGCCAACTGTCAAACACATCACCTCCCTCCCTCCCATCTTTTCAGCCATTGTTTGGTAGTTTTAGGTTTACGGTTTTTATCTTATATAATATCACAGACTAAAGTTAGGAGAATATAATTTGCATTGCTGGAATCCTTGCAAGACAGCGAATAATTTGAATATAGACATAATTTATTTTGCACAAGAGATAAAAATTTAGTACATTAATGTAATACAGTGGTCCCTCGGTTAACAAACCCCTTGGTTAACGAATTACTGACCATAAAAATCTTCAATTCGGTTAACGAACAAAAATTTGATTAACGAAATTCTTAGGAAAACATGTCAACATGTTTTGGCTTGCTCATCGACTGGTAGATTAGTCCGCCAATACAGTAATCGGTTCTAGGGCTTACATTCGTTTCCATTGGAGTAAATATCAAGAA